TTTTATAGATGAGGAAACTGAAGCTCAGATGAGTAGTAAATCTAAGACTTGAATTCAGGTCTTCTGGTTGTTCACACATCCTTTCCACTGCATTGTCCTGCCGCTCAGATGATATGATTACTGAATGCCCTTTACAGGAAATGGGAGTCAGTTCATACATAGCATTGAAAAGTGGGTTTCTGCCTCAAGGGTTTCCTGAAAGTACATGGCCAGGGCTGGTCCACTGGAGACCATGAAATTCCAGGGCTGCTGCCCTTATATCAGCTCTATGGATTTGGGACCCAACTCAACTGCCACCTCTTCAAAGAAGCCTTTCCTGCTTGCCCTGTGCATTGTGGGAAAAGAGCTGGCTTTGCTCGACACTTACTAGCTGTGTGACTCTGGGCAAGTCACTTAACTCCATTGCCTAGTAAAAAACAAAATTAAAAGAGGCAGCTGCTAGGTGGCGCAGTGGATGGAGCACTGGCCCACAAGTCAGGAGGACCTGAGTTCAAATCCAGCCTCAGATCAAACACTTGACACTTACTAGCTGTGTAACCCTGGGCAAGTCACTTAACCCCAACTGCAAAAAAAAAAAAAAAAAGCTGGGTTTGCTCAAAGGGTCCCTCAATAGAATTGGCTCTGCCACTTGGCTTCTTGGGCAAGTCACCTCATCTGTCTGACAAGGGGCTTGAATCAGGTAAACTCTAAAATCCCTTCAGATCTAAATTCTAGCCTTTTCTCCCTCTTTGACTCAGTTCCTTGAGGGCAGAGACTCAATCTCATTCATCTTTCCATCTCCACTAATTCTCAGAAGTGAGTTGTGCAGAATAGGTATTTATTGGGAATGGAGGGAGAAAGCTTCTGTGTCCTGGAAGTTAGGAGTCAGGGCACTGGCAGGAAGACCATGAGCAGATTACCTAACCTGAGCCTCAATTTCCTCAGCTGTAAAATGAAGATAATACTTGCAGTTCACTTCACAGGGTAGGAAAATGCTTTAAGATGGGTAGCTATTTAATAGCCACACTATGCTATGACTGATAGATTTGGCTCTTCTCAGCAATGCAAGGATCTAAGACAACTCCAAAAGACTCATGACGGAAAACGTATGCACATCCAGAGAAAGGACATGGAGTCTGAATGCAGATGGAAGCATACTATCTGCTCTCCTTTTCCTTTGTTGCTTTGTTTTATTGCTTCATTCTTGTGGTTCCTCCCATTAGTCCTAATTGTTCTTTACATCATGACTAATGTGAAAATATGCTTAAAATGAATGTGTATGTAGAGCCTATATCAGATTGCACACTGTCTTGGGGGGGTGGGAGGGAGAGGGATGGGGAGAAAACTTAAACCTCAAAATCTTATGGAAGTGAATGTTTAAAACTAAAAACAGATAATACTATTTAAAAAATAAACCAGATTGGTAGCTATTAGTGAAATTCTCCATGGCTTCAGTTATAGTGACCCCAACCTGTGGGTCGCCTTCCTGGGGACGGCCTCCCTGAGTGGCACAGAGGGGAAGGTTGAGAAGGTGTACCGCATCTACAAGCACCCATTCTACAACATCTACACTTTGGACTACGACGTGGCCCTCCTGGAACTCTCGGCTCCTGTGAAATACACCAGCGTCATTAAGCCCATCTGTCTCCCAGAGCACTCTCACCTTTTCACTGAAGGCACAAAGTGTTTCATCACTGGCTGGGGCTCCATCAGAGAAGGAGGTAGGCAAATCACCCACAGCTTCCCCCTGAACTGCCACTGCCCAGTTTACCCCACCCTGCCCCCTCGAATCCAGGGCTCAGGGATTGGCAAAACCTAGGGTGGCCAAGCCCAGCCTAAGCAGAGGCAGATAAGCCCTCCAAAGCACCTGGTCTAGTCACACAGGGAGAGTTGGCGCCTCTACCTAGGCCCTCTGACTTTAAATCCAACACATTTCAGAAAGGGGGGGAAAATGAGAACAGGGAGTGGGAATGAGAAGAGAATAAGCATTTATTAAGCACCTACTACATTCTAGGATGGGGCAGCTGGGTTGCACAGCGGATGGAGCACTGGGCCCAGAGTCACAAAGACTCATCTTTCCGAGTTCAAATCCAGCCTCAGACCCTTACTAGCTGTGTGATGCCAGGCAAGTCACTTCACCCTGTGTGTCTCAGTTTCCTCATCTGTAAAATGAGCTGGAGAAGGAAATGGCGAACCACTCCAGTATCTTTGCCAAGAAAATCCCAAATAGGGTCACCAAGAGTCAGACACAACTGAACAAGACATTATTCCGAGCACTGCGCTAATCATTCAGGTCTCCAATAGCATCCTCTGTTATCATTTTACCTAACACCCAACAGCATATTTGCTAGGCCAGATGAAGCCTCTGGTACCATGGAAGAGCTCTGAAGTTGGAGTCAGAATATCTGGGTCTGAGTCCTAGCTTGAGCATTTCACTTCCCTTTCCCAGATGTTTCCTCATCTGCAAAGTGAGGCCGTTGGTCCAATAGCTTCCAAGGACCCTTCCCCTTCTGATCTACCTCATTTCCCCCAGCCCCTCCCTCATGCCCACTGAGTATGGTGGGGCTCAGTATAAAGGAAAACTAAACTAGCTGTCCAAAAGAGGGCTGGGTCACTAGCAGAGGCACCGGCTCCCCCTTCCTAGAGACCCTCCAGCAGAAGCCTGGTAAACCACTTGGTGGGATGTTCTAGAAAGCAGTCCTAACATTCTCAAGTTTGCTCCTCACCCACCACCTGGCCCTCCTTGAGGTCATTGCTAACTGCTATTTGTGTTGAACAGGGCTAATGGCAAGGCACCTGCAGAAAGCAGTCGTAAACATCATTGGAGAGGACACCTGCCGGAAGTTCTACCCCATCCAGATCAGTAACAGAATGCTGTGTGCAGGCTTCACCCGGGGAGGTGTAGACAGCTGCTCGGTGAGGTCCCAGGTGCACTGTCCCCAGGCTCCCCAGGACAGCCAATCCTCCAGGCTTTTCTGTAACTAGGCAGCCAGCCTGGCCCACCAGACCTTAGATCCAGACCACACTTTAAACTTGGAGGCACTTTCACAGGTGTTTAATTTGTAAAGTTGAAATATTTGTGCCATCTGGTTCACAGTTCTCATGGGAAAAGCGCTTTATAAACCTTTAAAGCAGTTTCAACCACCCTGGGAGGAAAGCAGGGCAGAAAGGATCATTCCCATTTTACAGACTGGGACACTGAGGCCCAAGAAGGTAATACGACTTGCAACGTGACAGCCAGTTAGTGGTTGAGCTGAGACTGCTGCCTAAGCCTCCACATGGCTCCTTCTGTAGATCTTACTGGCAGTGAAATCCCTTCTTCTCAAGAGCCCAGCAAGGGAAGAGGGCGGCCTATCTTCTCCAGGGCTTCTGACCTTCTTGCTTCTTGTCCTTGCAGGGTGATGCTGGGGGGCCGCTGGCTTGCAAGGAGCCCGCCGGGAGGTGGTTTCTTGCTGGGGTCACCAGCTGGGGATACGGCTGTGCCAGGCCATACTTCCCAGGTGTCTATGCCAAGGTGACAGCTGTAAGGGGCTGGATCAGGCAGAACATCAGACTGTGACTGGCCAGGAAGATCAGGAGGCATGTGGCCAAGTCAAAAGTTCCCCTGGCTTTAGGAATCAACCTGAAGCAGGCAGTGGCTGCTGCCCCTAAGGAGCTGCCCATCTCCTTATGCCAGACAGCAGTGATAGCCTGAAAGCCAAGAACCATCGCCCGGGGTAACCGACGGGATGGTGGTCTTGACCATCTGGGGGGGGATTAGGGCAGGGGAGGGTGTGGGGAGTTGCATTTAACATGGTGAAATTGTATTAGGCTCTTCTGTACAAGTAAACATGACCTGTTTCAGACTCTAGCTTGTGGGGGAAGAATGACTCAGCCCTTCCCCAGCAAGGCCACCCTAAGTCCAGGAGCAAGACCGCCGGGACGAAGATCCATTACTTACTAGCACTAGTCACAGGCAGCAAATGTTGTAATTCTGTGCCTTTGTATCCCCAGGGCTGAACACAGGGAATCTCAAACATATTAGCTGGCATTGAATAAATGTTTGCTCAATTTTACTCCACTAGTTGGGTGACTAAGAACTAATCATTTAACCTCTTGGAGACTCAGCTTATTCATTTGTAAAATGAGGATACTTTAATACTTATATTACCTGCCTTGAAGTCATGCCATGTAAGTCTTAAAGTGTTACAGGTATGTGAATTATTTCAGTCATCATTCCTCCCCCCATATCCAGAGCTGACCCTCACAGAATGAGGTGACTAATTGTTGCTGGCATCTCAGCATTCAGGCCAAGGCCCCCCCTGAATCCCTGGGGCACCAGCCAATTGGATCAAGGGAAGTCAAACAGCCTGGAGGGACCCTACCCAACCCTTAAAACCCACAGCCGCATCCTTGGTGACTAGGTGGTACAGTAAATGGGGCACCAGGCCTAGAATCAGGAAGACCTGAGTCTGAATCCAGCCACGACACCGGGAGACCCTGGGCAATTCATTTCACCTGTGTGCTTCCTCAACCATAAACCGAGAATAACAGCACCTACCTTGCAGGGTTGTTGTGAGAACTGAACGAGGTATTCATAAAGCACTTAGCACAGTGCCAGTGCGGCACATAGTGAGTGCCGTATAAAGGCTATTACTATTTATTATTATTCCTTATCCTCAAGGCAGCTGCAGCTCGAGACCTCCATAAGGCTGTCACTTTCATGATCATCTGGGCCATCACAGCCCGATTATCCCAAAGGGAGGTGGAAGGGGGAAACACGGCAGAGTGAGACAGTCTAACTCACACTATTATGCTAAGATTTGAGTAGAAAGAGATCTGGCAGTCATTTGGGGATTACAGGACCCGCCCAAGGTCACATGATGACAGTGACTCCAAATCTAGGCCCATGCCCCCACAGCCGGGCCAGGCAGGGCAGGACATCCCACCCAGCAAGGACACATCTCACCTCAGAGGCACAAACCTTGGAAAGAACCAATCCATACGCTTGTCATCGCTCACAAGATGGAGAGAAGCTGCTCTGGTGTCACAGACAGCAATTTACTGTTTTCCAGATAAATGACAGGGGGTGATAACATTGTCCCTCGCCCCCAAGGCTCGTGAGCTGCACATCCCCCACCCGGGGGAACCAATCACATCTTTCCCAGGGAACAGCTAAAGGCCCAACTCCGAATCAGTGCATGCCGGGTGCCAGGCAAGGTCAGGGACCTCCCAGCAAGGTCAGGGACGGGAGGTGGCCAGGAGCTTCGCAACCTGCAGGAGGGCCATCCTTTGGCCAAAGGCTGAGACCACGGCAGAGGAGGGGAGAACTGGGCCCTTAGAGAAGGGCAGAGATCCAGGCTCCACAAACAGGGCTTTTATTAGTGTGCTGAGGAGGGGGTGGGGAATCACCAAGGAATCGAACCAAATTTCAGGAATCACCCCCCTGCCCCTGCCTTATTCCTTTCATTCTCAAAGCACCCTGTGAGAAGGGAGGGTGGCAGGATGAGCTCCCTGGCTGTGTCCAGGGCTGGCCCGCTCTGGGGAAGAGGGACAGCCGGTCTGGACAACCCAGCTAGAGTTCCTGGATGTCCACGAAAAGAGCACATGCCTCACATGTTGGCTCGCTCCCGCTGCAACCTAGAATTGTAGGCTCGGGACACTGTATTCCACGCATCCATGTACCGATCCATGCACATCGCAATGCACTTCTGAAGAGAAAACAAATGAGACAGGTAGAGAGGGGGCTCGGCGCCCTGCTTTAACTGCACCTAGATCCTATATGGGGCAGCTCAGTGGAGTCAGGAAGACCTGAGCTCACATCTAGCCTGAGATAATGGGTAAGTCACTTCCCCTTGCCTGCCTCCGTTTCCTCATCAGTAAAATGATCTGGAGAAGGAAATGAAAAACCACTCTAGTATCTTTGCCAAGAAAACCCCAAATGAGGTCAGGAAGAGTCAGACACGCCTGAAAAACAAATTCTTCTTTTTCCTGGTTTTCAGACCGTCATCCAGACTGGATTGGGGGCCACGGAGGGCAGCCATGCATGGCCAATGCCCACAGAACCCTAGAGCTGAAAGAGAGAGTGGCTTTCTCCTATCTCCACAGAATGGTTCCTCCTGGACTCCACCAATGGGCTGGGGCAGGTTTTCTTTAGACTGTGTCCTGTACAGCCCTGTGTGAGGGTCCTCCCCTCTGGTTAAAAGGCCAGGTGCCCCATTTTGGAATCCCCTTGTGCTGCTACAATGAGTAGTACAGGGTACAAACTGATATAGAAACAGCAAAGTTCTAGAGTTTCAAGGGCTGCTAGGTGGCACCACAGTGCACAAAATGCCAGGGCCCGAGTCAAGAAGACTCACCTTGAGTTCAAATCCAGCCTCAGACAATTCCTAGCTGTGTAGCCCTGGGCAAGTCACTTCCCCCTGCCTGCCTCAGTTTCCTCATCTCTAAAATGATCTGGAGAAGAAAATGGCAAACCACTCCAGTATCTTTATCAAGAAAACCCCAAAGGGAGTCACGGAGAGGTGAACGTGACTGAACAACAAAACTGACAAGTGCAAGGTCTGAATCCTGATTCTGCTCCTTACTATCCTATCTGGCCCACAACTGCCTCATCTGTAGGGGCTATGCCTAGATGTCTCAAAAGTCTCTTCCAGCTTGAAATCCTGACACCTATGACCCAGTGAGGACTGCAAGCGTGAATGTTCCAGACAGCCTCTCAAGGTCTACTTACTTGCTGTCTTCCTTCCAACAAGCTGCAATCTATCTGATGGTTCTAGTTCTGCCCTCTGGGGTCAAACTAAACGAGCCCCTCTTCCCCATGACAGCCACTCATCCATCCAAACAGAGGAATCACAACCCCTTTTAAGTCTTCTCTCATGTTTGGTTATTCTGCCTTTTGGCTCCTCTCACTACCCTAGTGGAAACAGTCAGTCAATAAGCATTTATTAAGCACCTACAATGTGCTTGTTGTCTTTCTTTCTCAAAGAGAACCATGCTATCCAGGAGGTGATGCCATGACATGCCCCCGATATTGTGGTCATTTTTGAGAATGGAAGGACAAACAACCACCACCACCACCACTACTTGCAAGTGGATTGGATTGAAGTGAGGCAGGGCTGTGCAAGGTCACCAGCCTCTCTCTCCTCCAGTGCCATCTGGGGTCCAGTGGTGAGATACAGATCAGGACAACTGGAGATGGCCCTAGATGCTCTGGGAGACCTTGGCCTTTTTAAGCTAAGGTTTTTAACAGGTTTCAGTTTGACTGAAGCAACGCCCATTCAGTGATTAATTATTAATAAGCATTTATTAAGTGCCTACAATGTGCTAGACACTGTGCTGAGCACTACAGATTTAAAGAAAGGCAAAAAGACAGGCTCTACCCTCAAGAAGCTCATACTTGGGCAAGGCTAAAATGAATAAATAACTATTAAGTAACTGAACTAGGATTCAAACTCAGGAGCCAGGACTCCTTACGTGATAGTCCGATTCCTCCGGACCTGTGTTCCTCGGCAGCACTGGACAGAGGCACTTCATGCCTCACACACACAGCTCCTTACCCTCCCCTGGGTGCCTGGGGGCAGGTCCTGCTTCTTCCAGTCACTCATTCTCCGGGTCCTCTTCCAGCCTCCCAAAGGGGTCACCAGTTCTTGCCCCTCCCTCCGGGACACCCCCATGGGCCACTGTGCTCCTTCAGGCTCGCTAACCCTCACTCCCAGTGGCTCGGCTCACTTTCTTGGGGCACGTGCCATCCCCGACCCCAGTCCCGGGGGGAGGGGAGGGGTTCATCTACTTAGCTCAGTGCCAGCCTCCCCAGACCCCCCGCGGCTGAACTCCGAAGGGTCCCCCTTACACGGCCGGGGTAGGGGTCACTCCAGACAGGGCTCGGGGAGGATGCCTTGCTCGTGCCCAAGATTCGGCCGGGCGGCAAGAGGCCAGCTCACGGCCCGACGCCCCCAGCCGAAGGGGCTGGGGCGGAGGAGAGGCGGTCCAGGGCCACGCGTGGGTCCCCTCGCGAGGCGCCCTCACCTGCTCGGAGTTATCCAAGGAGCTGCCGGGCTTCCCAATGCACTTCCGGAAACACTTGTTCGTCATCCTCTGGAGGGGACAGGGAGACACAGTGACCCGCGCGCCAGGGGACCCTCGGCCCGGCCCCGGCCCTCGCCCCCGCCCCCAGGTCCCAGGCCCCAGCCCCACACCTGCAGCAGCTCCTGCGCGTTGGCCACGGCAATTTGAACCTTCACTTGCTCCATGATGAGCCCTGGGTCCAGCTTCCCGCCTCCGGCCCCCGCCGCACCCCCGAACTCCGAGCCGAAGCTGCCCTCCATGGCTCCCAAGCAAAGTCACCCGGGCGCCGCCACTGCCGCCGCGTGCGCCGATCTGTACCCGTACTCGTACCGGAAACCGATCCCGGCGCACCACGGGAAACGGAGTCCCAGGGGAACCAAGAGCGGAAGAGGCTGGGAGAAGTCAGCGAGAAAAGGAAAAACTACGGTGCCCACAAGGCCACGCGCCGCGCGTCAGGCGCTCTGGAGCAATTCCAGTAGGGGGAGACTGAGGGCCGTTAGGTAACCCTGCCCTTTGCGCTTGCGCGGCGCGTTAACCGCCTAAGGCCGCTTAAAGGGTGTTGTGATGTCACTAAGGCCTCCCGGCCCCGCCTCACCATTACAGGGTGCTTCTAGGTGAGCAGCGAGGATCCCGGCAGTCCGCACCCCTCCCCTACTGCGAGAAGCTTTGGAGAGGAGGACCACCCCCCCAACCCCTGCTGCCGCGCAATGCAAGCCGGGATATCCCCCATCTCCTGACATCAAAACACAAAGGACTTGTAGCCGCGCGCAGGCGCCCTGCCCAGCCGAGACCAGACCCTGAGCGCGCAGGCGCCAAGGCTTGCGCCCGCCCGCCCGCCAGCGCAAGTGCCCGGACCGTACATTTGTGTGACCCCTTCACGACAGCTCCCCGCGCAGGCGCCCTGCGCTCTCCTCCTTTTCCTGCTCCTGTGGCACCTTCGTACCCACACGGCTTCCCCAGATCCCCACACTCTAGTGGTAGACCTAGAAGGAGGCGCGGGTGGGGAAACTGAGGCCCGTGGAGGTGAAGTACCCCACGAGAGCTGAGATTTGAACCCAGATCCTTTGACTTCCTTCTTTGCCAGGGCAGTAGGTCAGGGACATGCTGCAGCTAGGCTTTCCCTGCGTTTCAGCAAACGATGGAGAGAAGGCATTAAATCAGGCCAGTGTCAACTTTAAAGTGTGACAGAGCTCTTTGGTCCCTGTTTCACATGTGTTCGAGGCTTTGCATAAAGGCAGCTAGGTGGTACAGTGGTTAGAGCGCTAGATCTTTAATCATGGACAACTGACTTCAAATTCAGCCTCAGACACTTATTAGCCATGTGAACCCTGCCTCAATTTCCTCCCCTGTAAAATGGGGATTAATAATAGCACCTACTTCTTAGGATTGTCGTGGGGATAAAATGACTATTTTTTTAATTTTGTTTTTAACATTTAAAAAAAATTTTGAGTTTCAAATTCTCTTCCTCCAGTCCCTCCACCCATTGAGAAGGCAAGCAATATTATACTCATTATACGTTTGGTCATGCAAAACCTATTTCCATATTAATCATGTTGCAAAAAAAAAGCAAGAAAAATATAGACAGTGAAAAGAAAGATACTTCGATCTGCACTCAGAGTTAGTTCATCAGTTCTTGGAGGTGGATAGCATTTTTCATTATGAGTCATTTGGGATGGAAAGTGACTCTCTGTGAAGCACTTTGCAAACTATTATATAAATGCTAGCTATAGTTATAAATGGCATGCTTAGCAAATTCGCAGAGGACACACAAAGCTAGGAGGGATAGCTGACGTATCCCAAAAGATCTTCGTGGAAGGCTGTCATCTATTTGGTTTTGCTTGAGAAAGGAAATCACGTGGCTAGATAGGGCTTTCAGAATTTGGCTGAGTCACCAATGAACTCAGGTGATTAACTGGTTAGTGATAAGAGCATTTGGGGCTCAGCTTGATTACCTCTATTATACTTAAAATGAATATGTCAAGTAATAAACTCCAAGGTTAAAGAATCTGGTTAGCTTGCAAATTCCAGCTTTATCTCTAGTATTTACTGACTAGTTTATTCTACCTGAAGCAGATCTTTCCTTTCTGTTCTTTGCCTTCCCCTTCTGCTCTCTCTATATAAAATTCCATTGTATGCTAATGTAACTCAAACCTATAAAAGGTTTCTGAAACAGGCTCAGAGCCCATTGATTTTTTGTATTCTGTGGGACAATGCAGAACATGCTATTAAAATGTTTCTGCATGTTGATATGATTGGCAACAGTACATATCAATGAATCCTTGGATTTTTTTTTTAGTATCAATTAGATCACTTGAGCAAATCTAATAGGGATAAATGTTAAGTTTCATGGGTTGAAACTTTAAAACTTCCAAGTAACACAGATAGACCCCTGTAGGAAATTTTATGGGAGGGAATGGGCAAATGATGCAGGACAGGAAGGCACAAATCTAAACCTGGATGGATTGTGGTCTCCATCATTTGAAGGTGACTGGTGAGATTGCAGATCCACTAGAATAAAGTATTGAACCTGGTTTCAAAAACCCAACCTCCTATGTACAGAATGGGGGAAGCATTTGGGTCATTGGATAATTAATCCGAAACCCTTCAGACCATGAATTAAGAACCGTCAGAGAGGAGCTCAGTTATATCCATCCTAGCCAATCATGCTCCTATCTTTAAAACTGATCAAAGAACAAGAGCTTGCTATAAATTGCAACAATTCAGCCTCAAATCCACTGAACCAAAACACTCTTGGGGACGCTGGTGCTTCCTAAAGGGAAGGGAATAAACATTTATTAAACACCTACTATTAAGCACTGTGCTAAGTGCTTTACAAATTTTGATCCTCACAACAATCCTGTGAGATGGACACTGTTATTGTACCCATTTTATAGTTGAGGAAACTGAAGCGGCCAAAGGTCAAATGCCGTACCCAGGGTCACACAGCTAGTAAGTGTCCTGAGGTTGGATGTAAACTCAGGTCTTCAGACTCCAGAGACATCGCTCTCTGCTAGCTGTGCCACTATTTATAAATCAGTGAAAGCTGAACCAGAAACTGTACAGGCATGGTACCTTCTCTAGAAGTACCTGAGGGCACCATGGCAGTTTGGTCATTCACTTGCTCTTTATCTGAAGTCCAACTCAGAATGCATACAAGCTTTTGCAAACCAACTTCCCATACTTCGTGTGGTTCAAAGGGTCATCCAATAAACTAGTCACTCACTTCCAATTTGAATATAAGCACCTTAACTACAGGGACTTTCCCTTTTAGATTCGTACCCCCAACAGGAAACAAAACATTTGCCAGTTCCAGGGTTAAGCATTAGGTTTTATATTCATTCGTTCCTACCACAAATCTAGTGGGAGATCAGTATATGACAGTAAGGATGACAAATACCATAATTTATAAAACAAAGTTGGACAGACTGTATTGACTCCATTTGACAGCTAAATCTGAGGACCTGTGATTCACTCGGTCTCACCAGCAAAATGGTGGTAAAGCTGGGTGGGGTTAAGTAACCCCACAAAGTCTGGTGCTCTTTCTCCTCCATTATGAATCTCCTTTGACAGTTTCCCACAAACAGCAACAGTATTTGTTTTAAAAGCCCCAACAAAATCATAACCAATAGTTAAATCAAAACATTTATTGAAGTGTCTTGTACAAAAAAGTTTCCAGTCATAAAACGTATATTACAAATCATTGAAAAAGACATTTGGCATGCATGTATATTCTTTAAAAAAAAATTTTTTTTTGAAATGATAAAGTCTAGATTATCACATAGTTCTCAGATGCTCTGCATGACAATCTGTCATTTCTACTGAAGTTTGTGGGGTTTGCCATGGTAACTATCCAACTCAGCAAGTCATTTAAACCTTTATTATTTTTTTTTACAGCAGTGTTCATAAAGAATACATCCATAATGATCAATGGCCACTATATAAATAGAACAAAGCTATCTAAAAGTTGTATGGTTAAAACTACCATTCAAGTCAAAAGTCATTATTCTTATGAAAATAGTTGGATATGGAAAGTGATCTCAGTCATTTGCAGGCCTTTGGGGCTTGCTTGTAACATTTTATTGCTAACACCTTTAGTGTGATAACCTGGGGAGGAATGTTGGTCCTGCCCAATCAGTGAAGAATCAAGTTTTCATGATCTTTTGAGTTGCACTAATACCTTTCACAAAAGTAACCCCTCTCCCCAGCCCACCCCCCACCCCCTACCCAATCCTAGGATTTATTTTACTCAAAGGATCAAGCCAGGCTTCAACACATGCTTTTCTAGGGTCATCACTGCTACTTTCACCTAACCACTTTTTCATCTAGACCTTAGCATTTCAAGAAAAAGGCATTATGTTTACAAAGAATAATTGTATGTAAATGTGGGCTTATACAAAACAAGAAAAAAAATCACCTCTGAATTATTTTAAAGTGGTGTAAAGCTAAGCATATTTGAGGGCAAGTAAAAATTCTGTTTCCCAGGCCATGTTCAGTATTAAAAAGGTTCATGCTGCTCAATGTTTCCAAATACTCTATTTCCATTTTCCACTATGGGCTAACATGCAGCCACCAACCAGCTAACCTTCCAGCAAAGAGCCTCCCTATATGAAGCCTAAAACCAGTTATAAAAAGAGAACAGAGAACTAGGAAAAGGCTCGAGACTGCCGATCACACTTAGCTCCTGGCTCTGCCCTAGTCTCCAAGGATGCCTTGGTCAGAATGAACTCTTTCCTGGACAGCGAAGAGAAGAAACTGAATAAGAAATTGCCTAATCACTTTTTCCCAATACATGCAACAAGAGTCACCAAGAAACTGTCTCCAGTTACTCAGCTCCCACCTTTGACACCTTCGTGGCTTTGTCCAAATAGGAATGAATGCCGCTCCTTTCCTGTTGGGTTGGGATGACTGGGCCTTCCTAGGACCCTGGGTTGAATCAGTCCCCTTGTAAAGGTCAGAAGGCTAAGAGTACAGAGGGAATGCCCCTTCACAGTTAATATCATTCACATTGTGACCATGACCAGAGATGCTCTGGCACCTCATGTATTTCCTGCATGAACGTGGTTAGCTGCCTATCTTGTGTAAGACCCATCAATTGGGCTCCCTCCAGAAAAACAAAGAGCTAATTCCTTGGAGGCATTTTTCCTCCATTTGCTTTGGGAGAAGGGTTGAGACTACAAAGTCAGAAGGGGTTTGCTGAGCAGCCCGGCCGTTTCTGGAATTCCCCTAAAGCTTTCCACAGGTGGCTAACACAGTTAGTCCATACGGCCACATTCTACCATCTCATTTGGTCTACAGGGCATGCATCATTAACTGACCAAAATGGCC